ATAGATTTTCTCAAAATTGGTGGATATGGTTTCAAGAACTTTGGCTTGGTCGGTGGAACCAATTGAGTTAGAACTCCCTTCATACTCAGATCTACTTCGCTTCTTTTGACTTGTTTTTCCTTGAGGAACCTCAACACCTAAAGGGGACTCAAAGGGTGGTGTAGATTGGTTGGGTGATGAAGGTTGGAAGGATGGTTGATAGTGACTTGGTGCTACAAATGTCTCATTGGCAACATCATATGTAAAGTCTTCCATCCTAAAATTTAGGTTTTCCTCATCCCTAAAAGTTGTTGCATCGGTGACACCTAATGCAAGTGAGTCATTCCTAGTAGCAGTTGCACCCCTAACCACAATTTTTAAATCATCATAATTAGCAACACTTTTTGTCTGAAGGTTCTTGTGACTTGGGTGGGACTAGCAAAGAAAAAAAAAATGATGAGTGTTAATATATTATAAATAAAATATTAGAGCAAGCTAGCAAGTGACATAGCTTATAATATGAAGCTCACCTTCAAGTAATTTTCCCATACTTCATCACTAGCCGTGAACTTCTTTGTAATTGGGTCCCACCCAAATCCAGAGTTGTTACGCATGAGAGTAGTCATTTTGTCGAACTGCTTCTTATACCATCTCATTCGGCTCACGTAATTGTTATATGTTTTAGGAGACACGGTTTTCTCATTTAGGCGAGGAAGTACTCTTTTTTCTATTGTTTGCTTACTTATTGACCCATTAGTATCACGTCATCCTCGACTGATACCATCAACCAATAGCTCTAACAAGAAATCGCTTTCTTCCTTGGTCCAAAGTTCATAATTATCGGAACTTTTTCCTTTTCCTTTGTCCTTTCCTTGTTGTGAATCCTTCATTTTACTACATCATACATGTAAGAGAAACCTCTTTTACTACTATATTATATATCACACATAATTTCACAACTTTACGTCAAACAACAATGATAGAGCCAAATAAGCACATGAAAAAATGCAATTAGTATAAATTCATACTTGCAAAAAAGAAAGTTCATCTTTATCATAAATAAATAAAATTAAAAAAAATCGTAGCACAGTGGTCCTTTTCTCCCAAGTGGGAAAGATAAAAAAAACTAGTATCAAAACAAAGCTCTATTGTTATTTGAATAGTTATTTCTCCAGTTTTTACAAAAGTAATAAAATATTATTTTATGAAATAATAAATATAAATAAGTAAAACCATTCCTATCAAGTCTGTTCACAACAAACCAAAAACAAAAAGTAACACAACAAACCAAAGCAAAGCAACACAACAACAGCAACGCATATAATAATGGGGTTTGGTATCATTCCTATCAAATCATTCATATCAATATTTACAGAAACAAAAAGCAACACAGATATACACAGATGTACCACATCAGCAACACGAATAATGCAAATAGAGACAAAAACAAATAATAGCAAGCATGTGAAGAGAAAAGATGAGAACCTTTTCTCCGTTGCTGTTGTTACTTCTCAAGTCTGTTCATCTTCTGTCCAGCGTGAGAATCAGATGTAAAATGGTGTGATTTTTTTATGGGTTTGGTATTTATATCACCCACTGAAAAGTCTCACAGATTACATCATTTAACGAAATACTTCAAAATCGGTAAGTTTTTGAATACCACCGTACTTTTTCTAATCTTTTAAAAGTCCTAATTGAATACCATCAGACTTGCATTGATGATTTTAAAATCCTAATTGAATACCATCAGATTTTTATTGATCACTTAAAAATCATAATTGAATACCACTATTAAAAAAAATCTATTAAAATCCTAATTCAATACACCCCCCTTAGTTTCCCACGAGCTCTCTCTTTCTGGTAAATCTCATTTTTCTTCACTTTTTTTTTTCTTCTTTTCGTGTGTTTCTCGGAATTGGAAAGGGAGAAGAAAAGTAAATTTAAAAAAATTAAAAAAAAAAATTATAGAAGAAAAAAGTAAAGAAAGTGCTTAAAGTTGTGTGTTCCTCCTCTTAACAAGAACGCTAGCTCCATCAATAATAAAGGCCCCCACACTGAAAAATTACACGCATTAACTATCTATCACACTACACGTTTATAAGTAAAATATCAAATCCCTTCTCAACTGGAACACCACATCAATATGCAAATCAAAAACTTATCACATAGAGAGAATTGAAAATAGCCATACATATTGCCCAGCACGAATTTAATGTACTCATCACTTTAATTTTTATCTTCTAAAATAAAACTAAAAAATAAAAAGAAGAGAATATCCCAACAATCAAGCCTCCCACTTCTGCCAGTGTGGCTCCCACCCACCCCATACGAGTAATTTGAAGAACTCCACCGACAATTTCTCAAAAGCTTTTGCGTCCAACTTTGCCGAACCCATCCCCATGTGAGGCCATAGATAAGTTTTCAGCCACAAACAAAGAAGGAACAGTACTTGAAAGAGGGGGTTTCCAAACCTGTATTTCCAACTTGTGCTAGCCTAGCTACTTGCAAATCTTGGAATATCTTACTTCATCCAAATCCCTTGAAGTCTGCAGAGAAGATAAAAGACATGGCTTTGATCGGAGAGGCTCTTATCTCTGCTTCCGTCCAGGTGTTGTGCAACAGAATTACTTCGCCCGAGTTCGTTGACTTATTTCGGCACAAGAAACTCGATGAGCCACTCCTCATGAAGCTGAAGACGACACTGTTGACCTTATACGCAGTTGTGGATGACGCAGAGGAGAAGCAAATTAAGAAACCTGCTGTGAGGGATTGGCTCGACGAGCTCAAACATGCTGTCTTTGATGCAGAGGACTTATTCGATGAGATCGACATGGAAGCTTTACGATGCAAGTTCGAAGGCGAAGATCAAACCGGAAAATTTACCAACAAGGTGCGGAACTTGCTCTTTTCTTCTCGCAATCATTTTTATCAGAGCATGAATGATAAGATACAAGAGTTACTAGCAAGGTTAGAAAATTTCGTACAACTGAAAAGTGCTCTAGGTCTGAGAGAAGATGCTGGGCTGAAGGTTTCACAAAGAACTCCAACAACTTCCTTGGTTCATGAACCTTGTGTCTATGGTAGAGATGAAGTCAAAGAAAATCTCTCAAAAGTGTTGCTATCTGATGATGCAAGCAAGGATGATGTGTCTGTTCTCACCATTGTTGGAATGGGCGGGGTTGGCAAGACAACCCTTGCCCGATTGCTTTACAATGACGAGAAGGTGAAAGTTCATTTCACATTTCAAGCTTGGGCTTGTGTTTCAGAAGATTATGATGCTATTAGGATAACTAAAACTCTTCTTGAGTCAGTCACTTCAAAGCTTTGTAATACGACAGATTTGAATTTGCTTCAAGTTGAACTAAGAGAACAACTGAGGGGAAGGAAATTTTTATTTGTATTGGATGACCTATGGAATGAGGATTATACTGATTTGAAGTTCCTCCAAACTCCTTTTATGTCAGGAGCAAGGGGAAGTAAAGTCATCATAACAACACGGAACAAAAATATAGCATGTGTCATGCAAAATGTTCCTATTCAATACTTGGAACCACTGTCACATGAGGACTGCTGGTTGTTACTTTCAAAACATGCATTTGGAAATGAAAACTGTAGTGCACATCCAAACTTGGAAGACATTGGAAAGCAAATTGCACTCAAGTGCAAAGGGTTGCCTTTAGCTGCACAAACACTTGGGGGTTTGTTACATTGCAATATAGATTTCGAGTACTGGAGTAGAATACTAAATGACAGTTTCTGGGACCAACCCTATAATACAACTAACATTCTTCCGGCTCTAGGATTGAGTTACCATTATCTTCCTGCTCAGTTGAAACGATGCTTTGCTTATTGTTCAATTTTTCCAAAGGATTATGAGTTTGAAAAGGAAGATATAGTTCAATTATGGATTGCAGAAGGTATAATTCCACAAGCTAAGAATGGAAAAAGGATAGAAGCATTGGCTAGAAGATACTTCGATGAGTTGGTATCACGATCGTTGTTTCAAAAGTCAAGGAAATTGAGCTTCATTATGCATGATCTCATTAATGACTTGGCTATGTTCATGTCTCAGGGGTTTTGCCTTAGGCTCGAAGATGGGGTATCTCGTGAAGTTAAAAGAGCTCGTCATTTGTCATATGCTAGGGGAAAATTTGATGCTGCTCCAAGATTTGAACCATTATATGAGGCTAAATGTTTGCGGACCTTCCTACCTACCTCTTTAAATCCATATAGACATGAAAGATTTTTTGTAAGTAAAAAAGTTCTACAAGATTTGTTGCCATCACTACGATGTTTACGGGTGTTATCATTGTCACATTATCAAAATGTCACTGAGTTACCTGATTCTATTGCAAACCTCATTCACTTGCGCTACTTGGATCTTTCCCATACCGCAATTGAAAGGTTACCCGGGGTACTTTGCAATCTCTACAACTTGCAAACATTACTATTGTCAAATTGTTACTCTCTCTTTGAATTGCCTGCAGACATTAGAAAATTGATTAATTTACAGAAATTGATGTTGGGAGGTTGTAGCTCTCTTATTAAATTGCCTGAAGGCATGAAGGAGTTGATTAATTTGCATCATCTTGATGTCAGTGGAACTAAAATTGAAGAGATGCCGGTGCAAATGGGTAGACTGAAAAGTTTGAGAACATTGACTGCGTTTGTTGTGGGCAAATCTACTGGGTCAAGCATAAGAGAACTGAGGGAGTTCCCGCAGATTCGCGGAAAACTATCAATTTTGAAGCTACAAAATGTAGTTGATGCCAGGGATGCACTGCAAGCCAATATGAAGCACAAGAAAGATCTCAAGGAGTTAGTGTTTTCATGGGGTGCAGAGGATGCTAATGATTCCCAAAAGGAGAAAGATATACTCGACAAGCTCCAGCCTTGTGGGAATTTGGAGAAATTAACCATCAGATTCTATGGTGGAACCAATTTTCCGAATTGGTTAGGAGACTTGTCTTTTTCTAACATACAAGTCGTGCATCTCAGTGACTGTAGTTATTGTTGGTCGCTCCCACCAGTTGGGCGGCTACCGGCACTCAAAGAGCTCTGTATAGAAAGAATGAAGTTTGTGAAGACGATTGGCGTTGAATTCTATGGCAGAAATGGAGCTTATCTGACTCAGCCATTTCAATCTCTGGAGAAGCTGAAGTTTGGGGAGATGCCAGAGTGGGAGGAATGGGTACCAAGTGGAAGTGCAAGTGGAGGTGAATATGGTCCAGACTTTCCTCATCTCCAGGAACTGATTCTAAACAATTGTCCGAAACTGAGAGGAAGTTTGCCTTGTGAGCTGCCTTGCTTGAAGAAGTTTACGGTGTCTGGGTGTGTGGTTTTACATGATGGAAGGGCCACTACCACAACTACCAATAGTCTTAACTATAAATCTCTTGAAGAATTGAAAATAGAAGACAAAGCTCTGTTATCATTATTAGAGACAAAGCTCCTGTCCCGACTTGAGATTGAAAATGTTGTTGACGTACAGTGCTTGCCCTACTACAATCGTCTTCAAAGTTTGACTCTTTCGAATTGTCCAACGCTGTCGTCGTTTCCTAAAGATGGCCTACCCAGTACGTTGACATCACTTAATATAAACAATTGTAGGAAATTAGTATTCCTACCTCATGAGATGTTGGCCAAATTAACATCGCTTGACACTCTGCGTATATATCAAAGCTGTGATTCAATGAGGTCCTTCCCGTTGGGCAGTTTTCCCAAATTGACGGCTCTTAGCATTTGGGATTGTGAGAATCTGGAATCCCTTTCCATGATTGAAGAAGAAGGAGCTGTTGAGAATCTCAGCCATCTCAATGACTTGCAAGTCTATAAATGTCCAAAAATGGTGTGTTTTCACGAGGGAGAATTGCCCACTCCCAACCTGATTCGGTTTGAAGTCGGTGAATGCGAGAATTTGAAGTTCTTGCCCAAACGCCTTCATGCCCTCACAGCCCTTCGAGGTTTGCATATACAGAGTCTTCGGAATCTGGAGTCATTTGCAGAAGATGGGGGTTTGCCTCCCAACCTCCGATATTTTGGGATTGTGAATTGTGAGCGACTGAGGGCTTCATCAGTGGGAGAGTACTGGGGTTTGCAAGCACTTGTCTCCCTTGAAAAATTTCGTATCAGTGGAAGTGACCATGTCTTGGAGACGTTGCTCAAAGAACAGGTGCTCCCTACCACTCTTCACACTCTCCGCATCTATTCTCTATCAACTCTGAAATCTTTGGATGGAAAGGGTCTTGGACACCTCAATTCTCTTCAAGTGCTAGAAATTGACAGCTGTCCAAGTCTGGAATTCCTGCCAGGAGAGGAACTTCAACACCTCTCTTCTCTTCAGAATCTATACATTTGGAACTGTCCCAGTCTCCAATGCCTGCCAGTAGAGGGTTTGCCGCCATCTCTTTCTTATCTGCGTATCCTCTTTTGTCCTGCCCTGGAGAAAAGGTATAATAATAAGACGGGACAAGATTGGGCCAAGATATCTCACATTCCTTGCATCGAGATAGGCAACGAAGTGATCATATAATATGAGGTATTCCATAGTACACTCTCAAGCCTCAACTCTCAAATCAAAGTCAGGTCAGATATTCTCTCTTCCAAAAACCCAAATACATGTTGGACGTTGCCCAAATTCAATCTCCAAATTTCTAATAATTTCACGCATCTGATCAAAATCATATTGTACATAACTTATCTGATCAAATTTCTAATAATCACAGTTTTTTGTCATTTGCATTGTCACTGCATCTGATCAAATTCATCTCATTTGTAATTTGCCATTTTCAGATAAAATTATTCATCTCATTTGTAATTGTACAGAGTTACTTCAGCCGAGTTCATCGACTTATTTCGGCAGAAGAAACTCGACGAACCACTGCTCGTGAACCTGAAGACGACACTGTTGCCTTTGTTGGCAGTGCTTCATGATGCAGAGGAGAAGCAAACTGTGAACCCTGCTGTGAGAGAGTGCCTTAAAGATCTCAAGCATGCTGTCTTTGATGCAGAGGACTTACTGGATGAGATTGACACTGAAGCTTTGCGATGCAAGCTGGAAGGTGAGGATCAAACCCACAAATTAACCAACAAGGATCTTTTTTATTGTATTATGTAATTATTTTTTCTCTTGTTCTTCTTTGTACTGTTAAAGGAGTCAGCCACACAGAATAAGAAACTACGAATGGGAGCCATCTTATTTCATACTATTTTAAAATCCCTTTCTTTCTCAACAATGGAGGAATTTATACTAATCACGTAGCTTTATCTATATGGTTGCAGCTGGTTAAGGAGGTAAGATTCAGCTGGTTTAACCCTGCATCCTGTAATGCATTGTCGTGTGTGAAGCTTAAACTCTTGGGGCTATATGGTTTTGGGGAGATGTGATGTAATGACAGTTTACTTCGTTGTTTTGTTTGATAGGGATAGGAGGGTCTTTGACGATTTGAAAGGAGAGGGGTGAGGCTGAGAGGGTTCATAGATTAATTTGTCAGCAAGATGTAAATAATTAACTTTTTTGTTGCATATTCATTTAAAATCCTATTAACATCAACTTCCAATTTGGATTGGTAGGATCAGACTAAGCAGGTTCATACATTGCATGCGTCACGTCGTCAGCATTTCAGATTGAAAATGGACCTTGAATTGTCTTATGAGCCAATAGATTTTTCGAGATATCTTAAGCACAGCGGAAAATTAACGGATTGATCTGCACAGAGTCTTAAACATGGTTCTGTTGGATGCTGGAAGTGCCTCTTATTGTAAGTCATCAAGTATCATCTATGTGTTATTACTGTTTTGTCTGTTAATCCACTGGTTATTATTGTCATGTCACTGGTTTTTTTATTGTTTTGAACACTTAATTGAGATAGACTATTTTTTCTGGGTAATTTATTTTCATTTATTGCCCTTTGCTTCATTTCTTAATTAAATGAAGGATGCTTAATTAAACCCTCAAAGGCTAGAATATTCATAACGTACATGTTGAGAGTTCAAGAATAATATATAGAATGTGAAATTGACGACCCTGGCCTTTATGAGGCAACGTCTTTATTTCTTTGGTTATTCCAGTTTAGAATAGTTGCACAAATGAGATGATTCCAAGCATAAAATCACATTCGACCAAAAAGCATGAAGTCACACACAAAAAGAACACGGACAATTGCTAAGTTTATCCCCCACCCTCCTTGGTCTCTATTCTGTCGTGACATGGTCTGCCGGCCCCTACGTGATCGAGTGGTCTTTTGTTGCTTCGGCTGGTTTTAGTTTGGTCCTGCTGTTTGACTCTGTACCTGTCTGCAATGTCCAGTCTCTAGTTTTTGTGTGCTCTTTTTCTGTTAGTTACTTCTGGTGCTGCCTTTCTTTGGGCATGCTTTGCTTCTCCTCTGCCTGCCTTTTCTGGGGCCTTTTATTGAAGTATCTTTCGACCAAAAAAAAACATCCTCAAAATATTGATTACTAACAATAAGCTTGGGGAAAACCGTATATACTTTAGTTATATGGTTTGGGGAAAATAAATATCTAAAATTTCCCAGAATCTGTAATGAGAAACCTTCAATTGGAAGCCTGTTGTTTGTAAATTTCCACAACTGGAACCCTTTGAGCCAACCAAAAGGGTTTTCGTGTGGAACTGGGTTTCAGCTCTGGTCCTTTTTATTGTTGGAATTTTGCAGGTCTGTACTTAATGATGACAGAAAAGAAAGAGGAGAAGAATTTCAGAAATATCAGAGAAAGATAAACGGAGAAGACTAGAGAATTTCTGAGTTTTGATTTCAATCAACTGACTCTTACAAAGCATAGCCCACTCTTATGTAAACAGATCACAGAGGGGCATAACAGACTAACCACACAGCTTAGCTGTCTAACTAATACACGTGCTAAGTACCAGACTTGTAACAAACTTATTGACTTGCTAATCATAGTTAACATACTAACCATAGTTAACATTTTCCCGACTTAGGTAACTCTCTTAACCTAAGATGAGCACAATGTTGTCAGAAGATAGGACCATGAGAAGATATGGCTTGTATCCATGACCATGGTTTCTCGATCTTTCTTCTCCATGTCTTGTTTGCGTATATACTCAATTTCTCTTTCATGTCTCTCCCAATTTTCATGGTGTTGTTCAGAGCAATTTGCTCCAAATGTTTTGCCGTATCATTGGTGGAAGTACTCCCTCTCTTGGCTTTCGCTACCTTTCTCCCAATAAGCCTCAGCTCCTTTTGGATTGGTAAGTCTTGACTCATCGGGGAATCCAAAGGTGAATCTGATGTCATTGAATCATAAAGCGATGTCTCATTCAACACAACGGTCGGACTCGTGAGAATAATTTTGAATCTCGAACAATTTTTCACCACCTCCCAGCATGGGTGATAGTTGAAAGATTTTCTGCTTTGGCCAATGGCACTAAACCACATTTGTGCTAGCATAATCTATTAAAAAATAATATTGAAAATGCAAGAAACATTTAAAAAATTAGGACATTAAATTTAATAAAATGGAAATTACAAATAATTTACTTCATTACCAAGATTTTTGCCGCTTCGATGGTTGTTCCTCGTTTTTGCAAACGCATCTCTCCATTTCCCCAACTCTTTATTCAAAAAATTTCACCTACTAGCTAAGGCCATTTCCGTACGAGCCAAACCCGATCTTCACAAAATTTGCCATGAATTTTTCTCCACATATGAGAGAACTTCATCTCATTGCCCGTGGTCGGACAATGACCAACTTGGACCCAACACTCACACAACATAACATCTTCCATGGTTGTCTACGCCCCTCCGACTTTGATGAGAGATGCCATAAGATGATGAATAAAAAAGAAATTTGAAAGTGAAGAAAATTTTGTGTAGAAAATGAATAATATTAGAAGGAGAAGAAAATGTATGAAGATTTGGTGTTGAAAGTGAAGAATATTGGTAAGTATTTATAGAAAAAAAAAAAGTTCATAATTTTTTGGAAAATTTTAAATTGTTTTTCAAATTTTTTTACACAAAAAAGCCAGCCATTGTATTAGAGGACGAAAAAGGATTGGACAACCCAGAACTTGCCAAGTGGCTTCTAGTCATTGGCGTATATCAGGGCTGACGCCAGCACGCAGCAATGGTAAAAAAAAATTTAAACCCGAGTACTGACGTCAGACTGTCGTCAGCTCTAACGTCAGCAGCCCTTAGGCTAGAGCACGTGCTCGTTTTACCTTTGGGCTATCCCAGCTTGCTGGGACCCATGTGCTGCCTGGGCTGTTGAAGCCCGCTGGAACATATAACTGGGGCCTTGGGGCCCCTTCTGTTCGGGCCAAGGCTGGTAGGTGGAAATGCTCTTAGGTGGCGGCAATTGCTTGTTGTTTTTAGGGTTTGATTATAGGTTTTTGTGTTTTGAGCCTAAATTATTTATATTTTGGATTGGACTTTTATTTTGTATGGTTGAGCTCTTGTTTTTTATTTTCTAACTTTTGTTTTGGGCTTTTATGTATCTCTACAGTAGTGACATGTTCATTCGTATTTATAAAATAAATATAAAGAAAAAAAAAACTGATTGAATGATACATGAAATGTAGAGCACAATTTTTAAATAAATTAAACTAAAGTAAAATTCAATCCACTCCAATAAATAGACGACTTACATGAGTCGTGTCATTCGACCCGTTTGATAATCGGATATTCGGATTGGAGATTCACTCCTCCTGCGATCTTCTTCTAATTCTTACATGAGATTCGCTCTCCGCATATGTTACTCAGCTGCTCAAAGTCCAATATTCATTTTCCACGTAAGAACACCAATAAATATTAAAAACTCGCATTAATATATATATATTTTCCCTCCTTATTGAATCCTCTTCACAGAAAAGGCTCCATTTGTTTCTCTGCAAATCCGCCATCTCCATCTCCATCTCACTCACTCACTCACTCACTCACTCACTCACTCACACACTCTCTCTCTCTCTCTCTGATGATCTGCATTTTCCGAACCCATTTTCTCACTCTTTCTTCACTCGCTCTTTCTCTCATTCTTTATACATAATATACACACAATCGAAGAAGCGAATGGAGGCTGTTGCTCTCTCTGAAGATCTGTCCGATTCCACTCAGCGTTCCGACTCAGACAGCAACCGGCAAATTTACTTCATTCCCTACAGGTCTAACTCATTCACTTCTCGATTTGCTTCATTTTTTCCAGTTTCCACAGCTGCACAACTTTCACCAATCCACAATGAAGTTTCTTCTCAAATTTTCTATGCATTTTGGTTTCTGTGAATTTTCCGGAATTAGAAATGAGCAAAGGAAATTAGAGAGAAGTGTCACTTGGGCTTCTTAACTATATAATTAGAAATAAGGTTCTTAGTCTCTCTTCTTGTATTGTTATTTTTCATAGTATTAGATTTGGGAGTGTCTGAATCATAGGGTTTTGATTGAATTCATGTATCTCATGTTCATATGTGAATTGCGTTTTCAGTTGGTGGAGAGATGCACAAGACTCAGTTTTGGGCGATTCGGATGGAAAGAGAGGGATTTTGTATGTGACCTCGCAAGCTTCCTCGTATGCTGGACCTATGAAGATTATCAACAACATTTTCAACTCAGATCTTGTATTTAATCTCAAGCGGGAGGAGGATACTGTGCACAGTGGTGAAAATGGCGAAGTGGGTGTCTCAGGCCGAGACTATGCATTGGTCCCCACAGAAATGTGGGTTCAGGCACTCAGATGGTGAGTGGTTTTGATTCGATTTGGGCCATTTTTTATGATATGGGGTCTTTTGAATGTGTTTTCAATGAAAAAAGAGAAAGGTGCTACTGAAAAACGATTCGGATTTGATATAATTTGTGCCAAGAGTGATCAGTGATTGATGCTGCCACTTGCGGTTTAGATGGTGTTTAATGATGTGAATAGCTGGCTCTGGGTCCTTCTGGTGTTTTAGAACTTGATATTTTGTTGTACATTATACGTTACGTTTGACATGCTTTTGTAGGGCCGTAATGGTATCTCACGTTTAAATGACGCTTTGTTGTTTTATATGGAAGTGGATTGTAGTGAGTTGTTTCTATGCCCATGAATATTGCAAGGAATGTAACCCTTTTGCAGGCTTCTAACTGTTTGGTTATTCACCCTTGCTTCATTACTTTCTAGATTGGGCAGTTACATTTCCACTATTTGATTAAATGACTGATGGATTCTAGCTTCTTGCTAATATTTGATTGATTAGAATCAGATGTTGTGCTTCTTTGGATTTTAATTGGTGCCTTGATGTGAGATATTGTGCGTTTGATTCCACTTGTGCTCTAAAAGTCTCAATGATATGCATGGTCTCTATGACTTCTTTGATACATTTGGTCATGATTTTGGGAAGTTAGATACATTCCAGGGCAGAGTGTATGCCTCTGATGCCTGTCAGTTAATATCTATATATGTATTTGTTGCATTGCACAACTAATAGTTTTATTCTTTTTAAGTTGTGAAAGTGGACTGACTACGTAAGCAATTACTTGTAATTACTTTGGCTCCCTACATTTTCCTTTTAGTTGAGCTTTGAATTGGTCTAACACAGTAGCATTTATTATATACCACCAGGGCACATTGATTTTCTTTTTCCTGTCGAAAAAACTAAGGTACAATGAATTTTGGGAAGCTCCACCATCTATACGTTAAACCTGCAGCCTGTGAGCAAATCTAGCCTGAGCCACTAATTTATTTTTCACATTAAGATTGGGGTAAAGTAATTCCTCTCAAAGCCTTTAAATTAGGAATATTATTTAGTATAATTTTCACCTTGCAGAAGTCACTAAAGTTTGATGTGCTTAAGCCATTTCGGATTTGCCTTCTTGGGGTTGCTTGATTGTGTCCTACTCCCTGAACAATGCTAGAACCTTTGCAGATCTTAAGCCTCTAAAAGAGAAGAAAATTAAAGTGATTCATAATTCTTTGACAAGACTGCAGTGATTTCATTCATTTAACAATATCGTCATGGAAATTCTGCAGTTTGAGAATACTGCCTCGTCTGTTAATAATTTGAGAACAATTAAAGCTTGTTCTAGCATTAACATTCAGAAGAGCAACCTTTTGAACCCACCTGAGGTATGCATAATGGGGTTTTGCATAGTTCAAAGGAAAAAAAAATCATTTAATGTTTCCAGATGTGCAGGCACTCATAATAGTTTATGTAACACCCCGACTCCGTTTATTTTCCTATTTAATTTAATTAAGGGAAAATATTAAATTACTCCTGGGTTAAAGGTGATTTTGGTCACTTTCTTATCCGGGAAGATTTTGGGACCGTGAGTGGTGTGGTTGCGTAGGTGGTACTGAGACGAAACCGTAGACAGGCGGTAGGCCTGAATCGGAGATTTAACGAAGTTTTGGCGATCAAAACTTGTTCGGTGGCAGAACCGTAA